CAGCAGGAAAAGGCTGTTGCAGAGCCTCCTACTGTGAGGTCCAGGAAAGGTCTTCTCCAGTCTGCACTTGTAGGAACTTTCTGCACCTCACCCACTCCACAGAGTATTACTGATGATCCACCGTGGTCCACATTGTGTGGTCCACCATTATAGTACTCAAGTCCAGATTTTCAAGATTCGTGTCTCAACTTGGACTACAGCACTGATAACTTGGACACTGACTTGAGCACTGACCACATTTGGGCTTGGAAGTTGAAGAGACTGGCTTTTTTTTTTGTAATAGCCATAATAATTTGACGTAAGATATTGATGTCAAAACCTCTTCACCATGCTCTATCTGGCACACTTCCATCGAAGTGTAGGAAGTGACTTGTCATGTCATCTTTTTTTATTTATCAAATTGCAGAGTGATATGGTGGTGCAATATGCTGTTAGAAAGTTTAGAATATAAAATTATGAGCGCTGTCAGTTATGTTTAATGTAGACCTTTATGACTGACTCAGGTAATGGGGACTCAACTTGGACTCAATTCAGACTTGACTGATTATTCTTAGGTGACTCAGACTTGAGGGTTGGTGACTCGACGACAACACTTGTGTAGTCAGCATAATGTCTTATCTACTGTATATTTAGGGAAAGGTTGTCATGTCAGCAATGTGTACAGGAATGGGCTGAGCACACAGCCCTAAGGAGTGCAGGTGATGGAGGTGTAATTGCTGATCTGGACTGACTGTGCTACCAGTGTGAAAGTCCAGGGCCCAGTTGCAGAGGGAGTTGTTGAGGTCTAGCCAGATCAGCTTCACAGTCGGGTGTTGCGGGATGATGGCGTTAAAGGTTGAGCTAAAGTCAGTGAATGGCATCCTGATATAACAATTCTTTCTCAAGTGCTACTGCATCCTCATTGTAGTGGTTCAAACGGTAAGCAAAGTGGTGGGCTTTGAGTGTGATGTGGCAATTACTATATAGTGCACTGTATATACTGTAATGTCTGCTGTCTGTCTGTACTGTTTTTTTATGAGCATACAAATTCTGAGTGAGAAGTGGCTACTATAAAGTGTCTTCAAAAATTCAACAATGGGAAAAACAACTTAACGTCCTCAGCATCTACACTAGTTCACAGTTTATAAATAAGAAAATGAGTCTAGATCAGAATGATGATTTATCTGTTGCTTTTGTTCTCTAAATATGTATTTCATTAATGCTTCATAAATTTGGTGTGTTCCAGCTCTGGTTTGTTCGTCTGGCCCTTTTCACCAAACTGAGCCTCTTCCAAAATGCTGAGATGGAGTTTGAACCCTTTGGCAACCTGGATCAACCTGACCTCTACTATGAGTACTACCCAAATGTTTACCCTGGGAGGAGAGGTACACACACACACACACACACACACACACCCACACAGTTTGTATAAAGCCATACCATCATCTGCCCTTTGGGTCATTATTATTGACCTTTATGTAGGAGGAGCACTTTTGGTTTTAATCACAGAAATGTTTATACGGAATCTATTGTGTGAAACTCTTTTGTTTGATGTCTCTTTTCATATTTCACATCCAAAATCTGTTCTATGAATTCTCTTGGAGAGCCGACTGAAGGGCGAATGGTAGTATTCATGATAGTGCTGAAAAGCTGCTCTGAAACTCTTATCTCTGAGTTTTGAATATGTTATTAGCCTGCTCTCTAACTGGATTTTGCATTTTACCCACGTTTTTTTTTTTTTTTTTTTTTTAGGATACACAAGCATACCACCACTGTCCTATTAAATATTCAAAGGAAAGTTTCTGCCAGGAGCTTGATATTAGACTGTATCGTCGAGAAGCTCCAACAACTCCACTCGTCTCCAGCAGTTCTTTGGTTTTGTTTTCCTCTTTTTACACCGCATGAATTGCTCTCTAATGTATTCCCATTACTTTGGATCTGCTTTGCCCCTCGGGCTACCACAGTGAAAGCAGTAGCAGAGAACAGCTTCACACACATACACTTCTACAAAATAAATCACACTTGAAGCTTCTCCGCACAGCCTTCTTAAGAGAGCACCGATTGACTTTCCATTGATCGATATTAAACCCTCTTTGCCCTGCTAGGTGCTTGCAGACATACTGGCATGAGTTGTGTAGCCTGGCATCAGAAGTCGAACATTTCTCCATCCAGACGCTTGCATCGACTATCTGTTACCCATGATTGCACTCTTTGACTACCTTAAGAGACTGCCTTTGTATCGCTCTTGCAAGATTCAGGATCGACTGAGCACTCAAGAAAGAATCAGTGTTTATCAGTTATTTATGTTTTTGACAAATTAAAAGTTGAGTCCAATCTGGACTTGGAAGCATTAGGCCCAAGACCTGAATGCCACATGGAAAATGAGAAGCATTTATTCATGTCCTTTTTTAAAGGTGTGCTGTATCGTCATGCTTTACTTTCAGTGTAGATGCCTTTTTGTTCTTTTTAGAGACTGATGCATCAGTCTTATTGTCAGTTAAGTGAAATGTGCTCAAGGTAAAACGCTAACCTTCCCCACTTCTTTGAGAGGAGTCCTTGCCTTTTTACCTTAGCTCAATGAGAGTATTGGCCTCTGCAGTTGCTCTAAAAAAGAGAGAGTGAGAATCATCTAGTTTACTGTCAGACAGACATTCAGACAAGACTGGGAAAGTTATTAGTATGCTATGGCAGACAGTATTTAGTCTCAAATTGAATCCATCTGCCACCAACTATTGTTGAGTGGAATAACATCAGTAGCCAGTAAATTCTTCCACACATCTTTACTGAATAAGTGGGCCTGGAAGTTTGGTGACCTTGAGTCATGGTTTTAGAAATCCATATGCTCAAATTCCCCTGGCAGAACCACACCCATGCAAGAAATATGCGATACCTGTATAGAGCCCATGTTCTGGTCTTAATTAGAGAAATGTTCTACGTTTAGTTTCAAAACCTTCTCTACACTGTCAGCTATGTAAGTGTACCAAAACACTTTTTTACGGGTTTCCTAGACCTACTGCTGCTGGCAACCTAACCTGCAAGATGCTAGCTGACACTTGCTAGCCAGCCACGATAGCCCACAGTAAACCTTATTAGCTAGCTGGCTTGCAAACAAGTTAACACAGTTTATTCTAGAAGCATATTTGCTCCATCAGCTGCCTTCCGACTTTGCCTCTTTTCCAGAGCAGTTTATACTCCAGCGGCGGAGGATTATATAAAATTGGATGGTGCTACACAGCCAATATGACTGCTTCGGTTCTTGTTGAAAGTCAGAACTGTCTTGATGTTGTGTAAACAGTTTGTGCTTCACGGTGCAAGTTGGTGTGTCTAAGTTCACCTAAAGCAAATCCACTGATGGAGGCACTCAACTGCTTTGGCGCCAAATGTCACAAAAATGCTGCTCTGAGCAGGCCCTGAAGCTGCTGGTAGGATCTCATCACCCATGTGCCCTTGTGCACACGTGTCCACTTTAATGTGATCATAGAGCATGAGATATAAAGGAAATGCTTTATAGTGCCTCTTCTTTTCCTGAGATCTGTACAAGTGCTGTGGTTTCATGGTTGTTCTGCTTCTCAGTAACGAAGTTAACACTTAATTCTAAAAGACACTATAAAGGTATTAAAAGTCTTAATTTTAAGCTGATGAAACTTGCTGACCCCCTAGGAGAGATGGATTAAAGATTTCAGGCAAGGGAGAGTGTAGTACAGCCAGCATGACGATGAAATGATGTAACAGCAGGCAGTAATACAGACACTGGGGTGAGTTGGGGGGAAAAGGAGTGTGTATTCTATACTGCAGATGGGTTAGATAGAAAGCAGAGGCAGATAGAAAAGAGAAGCAGAAACAGAGATACATAGACTGGGAGAAGCAGCAGCCAAAGATGGACCAGCTAGCTGAGTTTCACGTCTGATGACAATATCAAAGAGACCCTGATCAAAGCCTGGGGACTCACCTGAATATAGGCTCCTCCTCAGGGATGTGTGTGTGTGTGTGTGTGTGTGTGTGTGTGTGTCTGTGTCTGTGAATGATGTAGAGGCAGAGAGAGACAGAGGGATGAGGCAGAGAGATGAGTGATGGAGCTGTGCAGCACACAGAGAGCGAGATGAGAGGGTTTAATAAGCAGCCATACGTAGCTCAATGCCATCTGTAGGTTCCTGCCTCCAGGGCTGTGTGCAGTCTGTGTGTGGGTGGATGGGTTTATATTCTTATCTCGCACTCTGTGTCTTTCTGTCTCTCTTCCCTTTCCCTCTCTTTTCTCTCTCTCTCTCTCTCTCTCTCTCTCTCTCTCTCTCTCTCCTGCTATGTCCTCATCCCACCCTGTTTCTTATTTTCCCCTTTCACTCGCCCATATTTTCCCCCTCCATCTCCTGTTTTCTTCCTCTCTCCTGTCCAGGCTCCATGGTGCCGTTCTCCATGCGGCTGCTGCATGCAGAGCTTCCCCAGTATCTGGCCAAGCCCCAGGAGGCTCTGGACCGCCTGCACAATCTCAAAACCGTCTGCCTTGCTGTTAGTATACACACACATGCACAAACACAAACACCGCCCCTGGATGAATGTAAAGATATGCGTTCTCTGTAGCATTCACACTGTAAAACTACACATCCACAGAAAAGCTCATTAGCCATACAAATCCTAAAGCCCACCTGTGTAAACAGCCAAATATGGTTGGATTTTAGTGTTATTGAATATGCAAATTCAAATTACACACACTCACAAAAAGCCTTCAGTGCTGGTATTGAAGCAGCTTCCTCCTCTGAAGTTTGAATTCCTACTCCCTGTTAACAGATTCTGGAGAACTTGGAGAAAGGCTTGGCTGAGGATGGCAGTATGATCACCCTAACACAAGAGAACAGGCAAGGTAAGCACACACAGTCACACACACACCCTCACACACTTCGCTACAGACCTGGCCCCAGTCCCAGACTGCATCAGACTGAGGGAGGAGAGTGAGGTCATGGGCCCCAGTGAGTAATACACACAAGCAGTAGGCAGAGGCACACCTGGTGCAGGACTGCAGCATACCTCGGCCCCACATACACACACACAACCATAAAAACACATGAATGCAGTGCTCTAAAAGTGTTTAGCAACTCACTGCTTCAGTACTCACACTGAATACCAAATTGACTCTCCAGCCCTTCACACCAAGCAGATCAATATAGATCAGTCCTATCCAATCCACTCACATCGGCACAAGTGTGCTGGGGAAATAGGGAGGCACCTCCATCTGGAATTCACCAGATTTAGGTAGACACACCTCTATACAACCTGATGACATCCGGATTCTATACAAAGTAAATCTTAATGCAGTGTTCTCTGTTTACAAGCCTTGAAGCACTAATTTAGCAACTTTTCCAAAGCCTGTGTGTCATGGCCATTAATCAGTTAATTCAGGATAGTGGATAACAACAAGAAACTTGGAGCTGAGCTGAGACGTTTGCTTATAATTGGGAAAATTAGCAGGGTGACGCATGAGCGGATGTATGTGTGAGGGTGCGCCAGCTCTGAGAGTTTCTCCCCTTTCTAAAAGCAGTGTAATAGCTGTGCCCTGTGTCTCTCCTCTCCCTGCCCACGCAGACAGTCAACAGTCAAGTCAGTAACGGAGGGCCTTGCCTTCACACATCAGACCCCTACTGAGTGATTAGCTCTTCTCCCCAACACACACACGAACAGACACACACAAGCGCAGCGATGAATACTAATAGGCCTGCACACATTGTCGGGGGGAAAGAGGAAAGCGGGAGTGTGCCGCAGTGTCTTCCTCACCACCTCGCCTTAAAATAAACCATGGTGTGGAGTGGGAGGAGGGAACACGGAGAGGGCAGGTGTAATGAGAGGGATGGAGGGATAAGAGTGATGGATAGAAGAGTAGGGAACGGGGGTGACGTTAGAGGGATGCCCAAAAAAGCAAGTGGAATGACAATAAGAAGTCACTCTTAAAGAAATAAACGCCCCTGTCTCTTCTCTCTCCGTTTTAGCGTCTCTTAAGCTGTGGAGGTCTCGCCTAAGTCGGGTCATGTACTCCATGGCCAACTGTCTGCAGCTGATGAAGGTAGGTGTGTGTGTTTGTCCACTCACATTTGTGTGTTACGCTGTGTTGGAGTGAATGTGTACCTATATGCGTTCCTGAGTCTGCCCAAATGTGTATCTGTGTGAGGGAGTGTTTGTGTGTGTGTGTGTGTGAGAGGGAGTCTCAGAGATCTCTGATGCCAGGCTGGTGGAGGATTCACAGTGAAATCCCCCCAGACTGACCACTAATTGGATTCTTGGTCAGTGAGAGAGAGGATGAGAAAGGAGAGAGAGAGAGAGGGTGGGGTGTGAATTTGGATCAGACTGTAGAAAGAACTACAGTGCCATCTACTGCTAAGTCCCAGTAGTTTTCATTTGCTTTGGCTCAGTTGCAATATGCAGAACCCTCTTTTTATGTTTTACTTGTTGGAGCACATTTACTACACTGCTGATTCTCTAGCAGACCTTGCTTGACTCTTTCAGATTTTGTAAAAATACAGTTTTGCTACCATAATTGTGCATGTAAACAGTGAAACATTACCAGACTGGGTCTAATAGGGATGGGAATTTCAAGCTAAAATACTATTCAATATTTGCTGGGAACTATTTGGCAATCATTCAAAATCCTAATGGGGTTCCATGTCCTTTGCTATCATCTTTGTGATGCGGGCTGTTGTTTGCTCTGCACATTGCTTTCTTCTTCTGGTGACAAAGCTATAGCCAGACTGTTGATCTGCGGATCGCACCCCACTTTCGCCTTCAAATGGCTGTGCATAGTCGTTGTAGATTTATGATATGCTAACTTAACCTGGCAGAGTTTGCACTGCACCTCATTTACATTTATTTTCTTGAAGAAGTTCCACACAGTAGGTTTTGGTGGTTGTAGTCTTGTTTGTATTTGGCACTGTAGTAAATTATATACTGACCTCCTTACCTTGCTATTTCCAGGTGCCAGTAAAAGCAAAGGAAAACAGTGGCTCCTTGTTTTTATTAACACAATCATTACACATTAAATATTCGGTTTTTTTTCTAATTTATGTTGGAATGTTCAAAAATTGTTGCCCATCCCCAGGGTCTAAAAACTATACAGTGGGTACGGAAAGTTTTCAGACCCTTTCAAGTTTTCCATTTTGTTATGTTTCAGATTCTTCTTAAAATAGATTAGTTTTTCCATCAATAATCTACACACAGTACTTCACAATGACAAAGCAAAAAACTTTTTTGGAGTGTTTGGTAAATGTATTAAAAATAAAAGACTGAAATAAACCATTTACATAAGTATTCAGACCCTTCGTTTAGTCCTTAGTTAAAGCCCCTTTAGCAGCAACGACAGCCTCAAGTCTTCTTGAGAATGAAGCTACAAGCTTGGCACCTTTCTTCTGGAATTTTCTTTCATTTTTCTTGGCAGAATCATTCAAGGTCAGCCAGGTTTAATGGGGAGCGTTGGTGCACAACCATTTTCAGGTCTTTCCAGAGATGTTCTATTGGGTTCAGGTCCAGACTCTGGCCGGGCCACTCCAGGACTTTCACAGAGTTTTCCCAAAGTCATTCCTGTGTTTTCTTGGCTGTATGCTTCGGGTCGTGGTCTTGTTGAAATGTAAACCTTCACCCCAGCCTGAGGCAGCACTCTTCCCTCAACCCTGACTAGTCTCCCAGTCCCAGACACAGAAGAACATTCCCACAGCATGATGCTGCCACCACCGTGTTTTACTGTAAGGATGGTATTAGTGAGGTGATGCTCAGTGCCTGGTTTTCACACACATGCTGGAAATTGTGGCCAAATAGTTCAATCTTAGTTTCATCAGACCATCAGGATTTTGCTTCTCATGGTCTGAGAGTTCTTCAGGTGCCTTTTGACAAACTCCTAGGGGGCTGTCTTGGGCCTTTTAGTGAGGAATGGCTTCCGTCTGGCCACTCTACCACAGACACCTGATTGGTGGAGTGCTGCACTGATGGGTGTTCTTCTGTAAGGTTCTCCCATCTCCAGAAAGGAACTCTGGATCTCATTCATAGTGACCCTTGGGTTCTTGGTTACAGGTCTAACCAAGGCCCTTCGTCCCTGATTACTCTGGGTGGCCACATCTGTGAAGACTGTAGAAGCATCTCAGTGTCTATTGATTGGAGTAGGATGCACCAGAGTTCAAGTGCAAGTGTCAAAACAAAGGGTCTGAATACTTGTCTAAATGGGATATTTCAGTCTTTTATTTTTCATAAATTAACAAAACACTGCAAAAACCTGTTTTCACTTTGTCATTCTGAAGCATTGTGTGTAGATTGATGAGGAAAAAAATGAATCAATTTAAAGATGAGTCTGAAACAAAATGTGGGAAAAAAAATGTCTGCAAACTTGGACTGTAAATTAGACATGATTTTCTTAAAAAGAATTGAAATTCTGCTGTATTCATTGGAAAATGTTCAACAGCAGTATAGTGTGTGTGTGAGTTGGCGTTGAAGGACTGCACAAGAGTTAAGCCATTTTCAGATGGGACGTGGTGGACGCTCCGCTCCACTATCAGACCCATTCAAGTCTTTGCTGGACAAGTGCGGCACAGGGTCGCGTGTGCCATCCCTCACGCTGCACTGAAGTTAAAAAAAAAAAGTTTAACTTGGGCACAGCACTCTGTGAGGACCCCTCAGTGTGACCAATTACAAAGAACCTTACGGACCAGAAAGAAAATAGAGAAGCTGATTTTGGCGGATCACACCCTCTTCTTCTTTGCTGCAGCTCGTCTCCTCCTCATCATCAATACAACTAAAGCCAGAGTTTTTTGTTGAAATGTAGATAGATACACAATGCATCCAAGTCCGCTGCCTAGAAAAATTTGTTAAACTCTGCTAACCACCTTGTGGAAAGCTTTCTGGTCGCCTAGCAACTGGCGCCCAACATGTATGTGATTTGTGCGTATGTGCCTTCCTCACCTGTGCTGTGCCTAACCCCTGCAGCCAGCGCAGCGCATACCGCATCCTGTCTGAAAATGGCCTTATTTTGCCAGCAAAGAGCATGTGAAACATGAGGAATTTGTGTGGATTAATCCACGTGGTGACCTAGTGAGTATTTACAGCAGCAGATTGGGTGTATGCAGGAGTGCGTCAAAATAAATTACAGTGCGTGTCTATGTTTATAATAATGGAGCATGTCGCCCAGGGTAACTGTTTCTCATTGCTGTGTTTTGTGACAGCAGTGGAGCTCTGTGTCGATGAGGAATCAGGCTTTAGACACACACATCACACTTTGCAGAAGGACCCATTCCTTATTGATTTAGGTCTTTTCATGTAATGTCATGACTGTAAGAAACAATAAACAGAATATTAACACACTTTTTAAAGCTACAATGTGCACAGGCATGAAACTCCAGATCAGTCCACTCCGTTCCACCCAGCACAGCCTCTCCCTGCTCCACAGTCAGAACTTTGTAGTCTGTATGAATGTGGGGTTTACTGCGGTATAGTCAACAGTAAATACAGTAAAATATAAAAACGTACATGGCACAATTTGATAGTTGTCTTTCTTGTGCTGAGATTTACAGCCCAAATCTTCTCAGGGGTTTGGACTCTAGAAACCTGTGAAAACTGAGTCAAAGCAGTTGTGAAATCCTATACCATAATACACATTACAGTGTACACACTCTCCCAGCCCGATACAGTGTCTCTCTGCACACACGTCTCTGACCTCCCTCCGTCGCCCTGCTCAGCATTCCAGTCACCATCTCAGGGATGTGTAGCAGTGCTCCCAACTCCCAGTGTGGAAGAGCGAGGAGGGTCACGTCGCCCCGCTAATACACCATATGCTTGATTAATGCCCTCTCTCTCTGTGCTCTTCTTTGCCTCGCTCGCCCTCCACCTGTCTCTGCCACCTACTGTTACTCACTTTCACTCATGTGCTCCTGACTTCTGTTTTTACTTCCAATGTCCTCCATTCTTCCCTGTGTTCACCTGTTTCTCTCTCTCCCTCCTCTCAGGACTACATTCTGGCTGTGGAAACCTATCACTCCATCATCAAGTATGAACCCCAGCAGAGAATTCAGCTGCTCAGTGGCATAGGACGCATCTTCTTGCAGGTTTGCACATTAACACACAAGACACCGGTTCCCTGGGCACAGTTTGGGTCGGTTAGTCTAGCTTAGCACCAAGACTTGAAGCAGGGGGAAACAGCTAGTTTACAATGATTATTAAATTATAATTAAACACTATCTGGTTCATTCTGTACATACAAAAATAAAAATGAGTGGGTTGTACAGTGAGTTCTGCTCCTCATCTATTCACTGAGCACATCTGTGCAGAATCCTACTCTACAGCACAGGGTGCATGGAAACCTCAGATATAACCCTTGAAAACCAAGCAAATAATCAGCTTCCTCTGGAATCTGGAGCCAAAACAGGACTGAGACTTTTGAATTTCCCAGTAGAAATGTTGGTGAAAATGTTGATGACACTGGGCCACCAGACATGAAACATGCACATATACACTCATTCTTCACCATGCTGTTGCATATACTAGTGTCTGTTTTCCTTTTTTTATGCTTGGTGGTTCTGTGGAGAGTAGGATCTCAGAAGCCTTCTTCCTTGTCCTTGTGGACACACTGTTGCCATTCCTGTTGCATTTCTGCCACCTGTAGAAGTGGAATGATGTAAAACCAAAGGCAGTACTGCACAGGCGCATCCTCTTGGGTGTGTGTAAGACAAACAAAACAGGCGTTCCCTCACTCACAGCAGACCAGCTCCACTGATTTATTAGAGGTCAAAAACTCCACAGGGTAGCTTTAATACCATCTGTGCAGAAAGTGAACAGGTCTTTTACATCAGGAAACTTGAATGCAATTGAATGTGTTATACTGTCATCAGAGATGTATTTATTTAGTTGTCATTGTTCTCTTTTGTGTTGTTCCTACATACATTATTTGCTGAGGCAATGAGTCAGTTTTCCCTGGAGGATCATGAAATGTGGTCTAATTTATTTGTGCTTGCCCCATTTTACAATATCCACACACAGCTAAGTGGTTAATGTGTTGCTGCTGCTTTGTTCTTGGCCAGATCGGAGATGTTAAAACAGCAGAGCGGTACTTCCAGGATGTGGAGAAAGCCTGCCAGATGAAAGGGAGCCAGCCCAGTCACACCATATGCGTGTTGATGAACAGGTATGTGTGTCTTATGCATTTAGCACCGCCACACAGGGTGTGTGTTCTTAAGCTTTTCAGGATCCTTTTCGCTCCACGGATGAGGTAGTTCCTTCAGGGCTTTTTTGCGGGTTCGTGCTTCCTCCTGGCATGTGGTTTAGCACAGAAGGTCACACCTCTGTGGCGCTGGCCTGAGGAGATTACGAGGCCAAACTCACGTGACAGATCCTCTCTCGCTCACACTTGCTGTGTCACTTTCACTGTCAAGTTATTGATTTTGTGCAGGTGCATTATTTGTAGCATTTAGTTATTTCCATTTACACAGTCTTATTTAACAGTTACTAATGTAGAAAAATGCAGTAAATGCAAACATTTAAATTAATATGAACTGTATTAAAATGAATTACTACAAAATCCATCCATTATCTATACTGCTTATCCTGAAGAGGGTCACGGGGGGCTGTAGCCAATCCCAGCTCACATTGGGTGAGAGGTGGGGTACACCCTGGACAGGTCGCCAGTCTGTTACAAGGCTGACATGTAGACAAACAACCACACACACACACACACTCCTACATAGGGTTTATAGTTGCCAATCAACCATAGCTGTATGTCTTTGGACTGTGGGAGGAAGCCGGAGTACCTGGAGAGAACCCACGCAGACACAGGGAGAAATTGCAGAATCCACACAGAAAGGCCCCAGGCTCGAACCCGGAACTTTCTTGCTATGAGGCGACAGTGCTAACCACCGTGTTAGATGTTGTATACTATATACAGAGTGACTTTATTGTGCTACCAATTGATTCTTGCCCCAGCCTGTTGTGTTCTTTGCAACATCACTGCAATGTCCAGAGAGAATGAACTGATCCTGTCCCTATAATGCCATTTGTATTGTACTGGATACATGAGATTCTCAGACCTCTGTGTCATCATCAAGATCGGCCATTGCATTAAAACCAATTCAAATCTGCCCTCTAGTGGATTGTCAATAGTGGAAGTAGAGGTCTCTAAACACATTCATAGTTCATTCACAGTTCATTTATCTGATTGTTCCTCTCTCGGCCTGGTTCTGGTGCTCCATCTTGAAAGCTGCCCCAGAGCTCTTCTGTGAGGAGAGAGGAGGGATCCCTAAGGAGCCACAAGCAGAGATCCATGAGATCATCCTTTGCTGTTTTCTGTTACCAGACAGACAAACCACTTTATTAGCAATCTGACAGTGACTGGATTAGTTGATCTCATTCATGTGATGCTAAATCACAGTATCTCTGAAGGTTTATACCAAAGTAGACAGATAACAGAAACAACTCCGGTGCATAATTATTAATTATTAGTACAATAATTATAGTCAAGGAGAGGAGGAGAGTCTGCTTTTCATCAATAAACACATTTAAATTTGTTTCTATTGTCAGTTCTATTCACTCACACCAGCTACTCATTTTGAAAAGGAAGATTAAACATTATATTTTTACTAATACTTTAAGATTACGATTTGCTGGATTGAACATATAATTACTAAGACTATATTTTACTTTATTGTATTATCACATTGAAATAGATGTTTTATACATTATTAAACATTGACAGAAAAACAACAGATTAATATTTACAACATGCATCTTGTGCATTGTGTATCTGTATATTATAGATGTAATATAACTATATAAAAGTACGTATGTAATAGATGTGTAAATATGTATATTTTAAACAACTCAATTAAAATAAATTGTATCACATATGATGCAAACAAAATATCACATATTCAATTTAAAAGACCAGTGTGGATGCTGTCAAACGGTTTGACAAACACTTAAAAATTACTTTTAAAAAAGTATTTCATGTTTCATTAAAAAGTAAATCTGTGCAATGTATACAAGACATCATATTCACTCCTCCAGTTTCAGGGCAGTGACCATCTATCAGGACATACTCTATCAATACTTTGACTGCCACAGACGGCAAAAAGTCATTATATGTGGTCTGTGGATGTCTCACACTGGATGCATGAGGCTGTACTTACATATGAGAATCCTATTTGGACTTGGGGACAAAAATGCAAGCGTGTTGCCAAGACAGGTTAGAGCAGAGTTACTGGTGAAATTTGACGGGCTGGCACAGCCCCATCCCACACCTTTGGGATGAACTGTGAAGCCTAGCATGAGCACCCAACATCAGTGGCCAGGCACTGCACTTCTGTTGTGGCTGACAGGGAACAGATCCCTGCAGCTAGGTTGTGAAATCTTGTGGAAAGGGAAGAGTGGACACTGTTATAGGTGCAACAGAATTGTCCCGGTTCCATATGGAATAAAGTCTCATACTGTAGAATATATGCCCTTGTGTTTGTAGTGCATGTCTTCCACTGCTTGCAGTATGACCTGGTTGTAACACAGGAATAGATATAGGCATGACAGAAAATAAACCAAGAGCTTTGCTTTTATGTAGCACTGTCAAGACTGTTTCTAGATTGTGTGTATTTGTGTGTTATCCAGGGCCTTTGTCTACCTCAGTCAGAACAACTACAGTGAAGCACACGCATCCTTCAGTGAAGTCTTAAAAATTGACCCCAAAAACCCGGTTGTAAGTACTGTCACCCACACTACACTTTACATCATTTACTCTGTGGCTGCTTTAAAATGCAGGACAGGAGCTCAAGGTCCTTATTAATTTTATGTTGTGTTAGTTGAATCTGCTCATGGTTAGTCCTTATAACATTATCTACATGTGAACCATGAACAAAGATCAGCCTTTGTCTTGATCCAAATATTATACTGACAATACCCACACTGTCCCATGATCATTTACATTTGACCTCATCACATCAAAGTAATGTAATAAACTGTTTAACGTAAGGCTAATGCCATTGACAAACAGTGCTTTTTGTTTCTGCATTTTGACTGGAAAACTGATCTTCAGAGTAACAGTAGGTAGCATCATAAAAGACCTTCAAGGGAAAGGTTCACGGGAAAGAAACATTTATATGACACTAAGTCATCCAGAGAGTTGTGTGGCAAGGTTTGGAACTGAATTGTACTGCATGCTTAGTGTCATTTAATTAGTGAAATTGAATTGTTTAGGGGTCTCAAAAGATTCAATGACTTGAATATTACATTAAATATAACGTCAAAAGCTCAGCAGCAGCATCATTCCAAGTAAAATGACTTCTGTCTCTCTGCTCCTTTTTTTGGATGTTTCCAGGCTAACAACAATGCAGCAGTGTGCCTGCTATACCTGGGCCGTTTGAAGGAGTCCCTGGGCCAGCTAGAGGGTCTGGTACAGCAGGACCCCACTCTGTACCTCCATGAGAGCGTCCTCTTCAACTTGACCACTATGTACGAGCTGGAGTCATCTCGCAGCACCCAGAAGAAGCAGGCTCTGCTGGAGGCCGTGGCCTGCCGGGAGGGGGACAGCTTCAACACCCAGTGCCTCAAACTGGTCTAAGAGGCAGGAGGTTGAACTGGGAGAGGACACATTAATGTGTCCTCCTCCGACTGTGACAAATGAATAAAACCCTGAAAGCAGAATCTATACCATATCCGGAAGTAGCAGTTCCAGTGACAAGTGTGGTGACAGAAAAGTGGATGTATAGTGCTTGTTTTGATTTCCCAAAAGGCAAGTTGATGCAAGATCTTTAAGATCTAGTTTTAATTCTGTTCAACGTATTTTGGAGGCCAGGCAGGTACATGCATCCATCCATGTCACCCCATAGGGTGGCATAGCACTGCAGTCCCTCTGAAGGGGGCCCAGTAAAGATCCACACATTTACAGAAGGTGTCACATGTTGGTGGAGGTGACATTTGAGAAAGGAAATGCCCCTTCAAAAGCCTTGCATCTGCATGAGTTGCTGTTAATTTTATTTTACACTTTAAAAGAATGGATTTTTGGGGAAAATATGCAGATTTGTTTTCTTAGAGAGACTGAGAAGAAAAGAGTGATACCACTGTCATGTCTGTATGATAAATATGAAGCCAGCTAGCAGGCGGTTAGCTTAGCATTAAGACTAAACAGAGAAACCGCTAGCCGAGCTAAATCTGCTAGCACGCTTATTGCTGGCTGTGCAAGCCAATTTTAAAGTATCTTTTAAGTTCTTTGTGCATTTGTATGTTACAATGAATACTTCTGAGTAGGAAGGCCTTTTTGTCTTTCTACTACCTTGCACTGTTCATTTCCAAAAGCTGACCAGAAGTTATGTTTCCATGGTTATTACTGAAGCGTGTATATTTTGGAATGAGACCATCTGGTCTTACAAGTGTTTAGCTTACCTCTACAAATGTTTTTGCACTAAATATATTCAAATTACAGTGAGGTACTGCTGTGGCAAAACAAGAGAAAGAACATTGTAAGCTCAACAAAATGTACCTTTTCTCTTTAGTTCCTCCCCCCTCCCCACAGGGGGCACCTGTTAATCTGGTCTTTGATAATTAGCTACATACCATATAAGTTGAAAATTTGGATAAGGCTACAGAGCAGTAGCCCACTGACGCACTGGTCTCTGACAGTCAAGTAATCGTACTGTTGCAGGCTGTGGCACACAGCAGTCTAGCAGGGTCTTGCTGAGAATTAGCTGCCTCTACCTTCATATTTCGTGTGCAGATATGAGTAGCATCTGTCTTTTCATCTTACTTTCAGTGATAATACTATTTCCCAAAATGCCTATTACTTTAAACTTGTGATTTTTTTATATCAAAGAAATTCTAGTCAAACCACTACAGAGGAATCGTACATTTAAACATTTCTGGTATGAAGAGAGACCTCACAACACGTTTACAGACTAGTAGTGCAGACACGTGTAAGACTTGACACGGGCATTATCCTGAGCTCCAGTGTGCTCAAAGACTAACAGTCAAAGACCACTCAGTTCCAGCTGGCGGTTTTTGCCAGGTTTATTAAAGCTACAGTATGTAACTAGCATTAATCTCCAAATCAATCCGCTCTGCTCTGCCCAGCACTCCCTCCCCCTGCTCCACTGTTCTCTACTATGATCTGGTACTGATCAAGCAGAAATAATTGAAAATCTGATTGGTTAGAGAGGTCAGTCCTGCTCAAAACCTTTTAGAAGCTAATATCTCTGCGCTGCTGCCATTGCTGGTCAATGAGTCTGGGTCACAGGACGCTTTGACAGTATCTCTCCACATTAAGATGAGTTCTGGAGCAAATTTCTGCAACAAAAATATTTGACAAAAGTTACATACTGTGGCTTTAACTTGTGCAGTGAACTTAAATAAGCCCTTCAGATTGCATTGTATTGTATCTGGTCTAATAAAACAAAATTATGTAAAATATTAGGAATGCAAAATTGTACATATCAGAATATGCAGATTTTAGTTTGATTATATATAAATGATTGTCTTGTTGAATCTTTTATTGATTTGTCCTGGCTGATCTTTATCTCTGTTTACATACTGTTGATCATATTTATGTATGTTAAAAAAGACATTTTGTTTTAGCTTAAATAAAACTGTGGCTCTAAATCAACTTAAATGAAGGCTCACTATCAGACTGAACATGTTTTTATTTTCATAGAGAATAAAAGATTTGCACCAATCTAGCAGCTGCTCCAGTCAGTTAGATGGGAGAGGTGGACTTTATTGAACTACTGTCCTCCTGTTGCCTGATGAGGCAGGTCTAGATTCCAAGGTAAACACAGCCATTCAAGTGCTGTTCTTTGATTTGTGCGGTGTCCCATTAGATGTTGCTTTGTTCTCAAAAGCACACATCAGAGTGTAACTGCCTGAAGTACAGTATTTACACTGCAGAGTCATGGTTTTGTTTAGGCCACAGTTTATACAATAGCATTGTCTGACCATAATCCTTATCATACAGGTACTGCGCCAGATAATTATGTTGCACTGGGTTTCACATTTCTAGTCAAAGATCTGTTAAACATGCTTAACATGTTTAAGTTACGTTAATTAATTAATAGTAAAGTGATGTCCTGCAAAATGGAATGCTCTAAGCTGTGATGATAAAATTGACGGTGTGGTGACTGATCCACAGTGTCGACTCAGTGTGCGCTCAGATGCACAACTGGCAGCTGAGTGTTTGTGTTTTGATGACGTGGATGGTTCACAGCGACACAGTCTAGTGTCGACTACAGAGTCAGTTTACAAAAGACAAGTGACAGAGCAAAACTCAAGAGCGTCCACACTACAAACTAGAGCGTCATCTCCAGGAGGGGCCATGGAGACAAACATCAGATGTGATGATCAGCAGAAGAAACATTAAGTTACATTTAACTTAAGTGATGCTGGGATTTAAACAGACTGTTTTACCCGTGTATCTGTGAGTGATAAGCTGTAGATCTATATGACACAAGCAGGGCACAGGATGGCCAAACTTTGGAACATGTGGACCGGGTGTGAGCCCCACACAGCCGATGTGTTCACTGTTGCTGGTTGACATGTAAACCAACATGAAGCAGGGGGAGCTCGGAGAACAATCAGTACATTTTGGAGTTTCGGGGTGTGCTGAAAGGTCAAATTTGTTGAACTTTGACCCTGGTTGTGCTGACCTCTGTGTGCAGCCAATCACTGTTTTGCCCTGGTTTTGCCTATACTCATAGAACCCCAGATTGGCTACAGTATATAACCAAAGTTCCTGAATTTTCCCAAACTGTACAATAATATGATCCTCATGTCAAGATCAAATAAAGATAGACAACCTACTTGGCACAGGTGCTGCTACCAAGACTGTTCAAAGAGAAAGCACACAGTCTGATCCTATAAAATGTAACATTGGTGATCTACTGCTAGCAACAACAGCACTGTAGCTGTGTCATTTTTTTACAGTGCAATATCTAGGACCAGCAAAAAGCGTGCAGTGCAAGGCCCTCGTTTTTCCAGTGTAATGTGAACATACCTTGATTCTGCCAAACTAGAGAATAAAGTCAGTCTAATATTTAATTGTGTGGGCAATTACATTTGCCACGTAGCCGGAAAGTGTTTACATGGCCCTTGAAACAGGCTACAACTTAACTGTCTACATACGTGTCATAGGTGAGCTCCGGTAGTTCATCACAGCAATACACCTCTGATATTAATGTAACAACAGCCAGATTAGGTGAAAGCTTCTATCTGCATTTTCTCTTTTGGTCTCACAAGGACACATAGTGGGGATTTCAGAATGGTAGCCTACTGGGAGATTAAGTGGATCATCCCCTTAAACATAGGTGCAGGTTCAAACCCTGGCCTCTCCAGTCCACACTGAATCCCAAGTTGCTCCTGGTGATATGAGTGATGTTGTCAACAACTGTGTGTGTGAATGAGCAAACATTGCTCTTGCAGTGCATAAAAAAGCAACTACAGAAGTCAATTTACTATTTTATTTTGTAGTTGATGTGTGCTGCAGCTCTTTCTCAGGATCCCTGCAGAGAAGCCACATACTTCTGACGGACGTCAAAGTCATCTGCTGGACGGTTGTAAGCCTTCCACACAGGCTCCCCCACAAATAGCCTCATGGCTTTAGTGTAGTTCTGTAGAAACAAACAGTGTTAAATTCACTCTGGATGTGGCTGGATAAAGGACCATCAATTGCAGGGCTCTGGTGCTGTGCACATATGGCTGAAGGGGACATTTGATGGAGCTGAATCATCATTAAATTTGAATATGAAATTTGTTTCACCTGTACTTCTCCAGCTACGACAAGCCAAAATGTCTGCTGTGAAACAGGAATTAAAGCTCATTGCCTTATCCTTTAATGCTTCATTAGTCACTGGACACTATCAGCCCAGTTTTAAACAGGGCTCATTCAGCCCATCTTTACAACAAACATAACCGTGAACCTGCTGTTCCAGCCAGTGTTGCAGTCGAATCACCAAACCTCGAGTTCAAGTTGAGTCGAGTCCTCCAAGTTTGAGTCAAGTTTAAATCGCCAAAGAGTAATCAGAGTCGAGTCCCAGTTGAGTTCCTGTTACCCGAGTCAGTCAACAAGGTCCAAATTAAACACAACTGACACAGTTCTCACCCTTTTATATTCCACACTTTCTAACAGTGTATCGCGTCACCGTGTTGCTCGGCAATTTGATACAGAATAGAATAGAAAGGTGGAGAGCATGTGTCGATGTAAGTGTCCCGGATACAGCGTGGTGTCCCGAGTCTTCAGTGCTCAAGCCCAAGTTGAGTCACAAGTCCTGAAAATCTGGAATCGAGTCCAAGTCCTGGATTCAAGTGCTACAACAGTGGTTCCAGCCAACTATAGGCCTACTTCTTCAATAATTCTGAAACCTTGTTCTTACCAAAGATTTTAGAGAAAACTGTTTTAATCAGCCAACTACTTTTTTTTTTAATAGGGGGAGAATCTTATACAAACTCCATTCAGGTTTTTGTTCTACACACAGTGCAAACCCAGCACTCCTTCAAGTGATAAATGACCTCCTTTTGAATGTAGATGCAGGGCTATTCTGTTTTAGTTCTCCTCCATATTAGTGCCATCTAGTAATGCTACATTCGAGGCCGACAACTTGACACATTATCAGCCTTTCAACGCACACCGCAAACAAGGTTTCACTACATTGCATGTGTACGGAGACACGTCGAGCTGGTTCTCAGTCGGGATGGTTTGTAAAACTTTTGGTGCATTTAGAAATGCTCAGAATCCCTCCAAACGTTGTGAGTTATCAGAGTGGAGGCGAGATTTTGCACGAGTTACTGCCAGACTGTCCTAGTTACACAAGCATAACTTTTCTGGTTGCACAAATTTATCTGTAAAACATTTTAAAGTGGCATAATGATAATGATCGCACTCTAACACAAGCATATCTATCTATCCCACAAACATATATTGATATTAGTAGGATAGTAAGTGGCCTTTATAAACCAGTCAATATTACTGGGATGCATATACAGTATATAACTTTTATTGTTATCAAAGACAGCAGCAGTGTGCCGCCTTATTGCCTCACTGTTTCATGGCACCATGCCCCAAATATTGCACAGAATTGAAATGTTAAAGGTTGACCAGTAGATGCTGCCATACTGACTGTGTTCAAATGCTTGGAAACGGTGAACCATCATCAACACAGCTGCTTCATGTTAAATCAGAGCTTAAAAAAAAAACTTGGTTTATCCATCGCTAGTGCTTACTGTGATACAACTGAGTGTGAATTACAGTTAGCCATTTGAGAGATGGGTGGATATCTGAGGTACTGCCTTTAAAGGTCTAACTGCACATGTGTGTGGGATGTTTAGATGTGTGTGCATAATTGTGGGGGTGTATGTGGGTCATCTTCTATATTAACAGTATTTTCAGCACTCCTCATACAGAGACGAAAACCAACAATGAGCTGCCTCTACTCACGGTTAATGTCCATCAGTGTGTCTGTCCTGGTTTGGCTTATTCACCTATCCCATAGACCTCCATTGTTGTTCAAAAACAATTAAAAACCAAGCGACAACCTCTGAGGCTGAGAAATGAAGCCAATACTAGGTGCCAAGACCTGCAGTTCCTGAATCACCACTAGAGGCTGGCTCCAAAAGAGAGTCAGTCCCCACAGACCGTATCAAAATTCCCAACTTTGCAGCAGAAATAAACATATTTAGTTTTCCTCTCTATAGCTAATTTCCCCTTCCATGACAATTGTACAGGAGGCAAATGTTTATTTAATGAATTTTTATACAACTCCCCTGTTTAAATTGAGTTAAAACTAAAAGTTACGTGGCCGCTTTGACTGAGAGGAAGGAGGGTCTGGCTGGCTTCATTCTGCCTATTCATCCCACCTCAGCTCCACTCATGCTCTGCCTCTTTTCCCATTTTTGGATTAGACCTAGCAGGTGGAGTGACGCACTATCAATATGGCGACTGCCAGACTTGAGCTTCAGAAAACCAATGGGTGAACACATCAGTGAAACACACTGCTGCACTGGGTGACATGTTCTTTCATTATGAAAACACCAGACCTGCATATTTGTTGGAGACTGACAGAAATTAACAGTGAGTAGAGGCACTTCTCACGTCTCTGTATTGGGGATGGCTAAAAAAAAATAAACTATTAATACAGAAAATGACCAACCTTATCCTTTAAACATTTATTTTGAAAAATGCTATATCAGTCATTTCTTTATTAATTAATATTGTTATTATTAGTAGTAGTAATAGTATTTTGGGAGCAGTAACTTTAAGAGCATGTCCTGTTTTATTGCTATTTAGCAGAAGCTGTCAGACGTACGGTCTCGTCCAGGGTGAAGCGGTGATAGATGCCTGCTGGCAGGGTGATCAGATCTCCCTTGTTCATGGCAATTCTTATCCATCGGTCCTCTTTGTCCCTAACGTCAAAGTAAGCTTGGCCGTCCAGGATGTAGCGGATCTCGTCATCCAAGTGCAAGTGCTCGTCAAAGAACATCTTGAGCTAAAAGGACAAGTCAGACACGAGAAGACAAAGAAGTTTGACTAATGGTGGTTTCTTCATAGAATTATAAAGCCTTATCCCCACTTCAGTTAGTCGCTGTCCAAATGTTTCCCTGTCTTCTCTGGTAACTAAAAATGATGGTCAAATAAAGGTCAGACACACTATAGAGCACTCTACCAATTCTCCACAGGTCATAAAACCTTCTAACACAGTGAGGACATTTAACTCCACTCCAGTCTAAAAGTACTAAAAGTCCTCAGATGGTTCAGAATGCTGCAGCCAGAATTTTAACTACATCCAGAAACTCTGAACACAGTACATCATATTTAGCATCCTCTACTGGCTTCCTGCCCATGTCAGATCAGACATTAAAGTGCTTCTAATGAGTTTGTGCAATGGTCTACATATATGTTACAATATACAAACTTTGTCATTCTCTTTGTCCTTACTGTGACTCCATTATGTTGATTTACTCTGTACGCACGACGCGTGTTGCACTTCTGTCTGTCCTGGAAGAGTGATTCCTCCTCTGATGCTCTTCCTGAGGTTTCTTTTTTTTATTTTTCCATTAAAGGGTTTTTTGGGGGGGAGTTTTTTTCTTATCCAATTGGAGGGTCTAACAACGGAGGTGCTGTATGCTGTACAGGTTGTAAAGCCCCTTGAGGCGAATTTCAGATAGTGGGCTATACAAACAAAAACTGACTTGACAGTTTACTTTAAACTTTTTCAGTGACATGACAATATCTCTGAATTAAAAAAAAAAACTCTTAGAAGATGCTGTCTGATTTATGATGTAATGCTTCTGCAGTGTAAAGTGTTCAGATGACCTTTTCCTCATAGTTAGGTAGTGTATCCTTGTGAATAGTGATGATGTCCATGTAGGAGTAGCCATGGTCTTTACGGATCCGTTCCAGCTCTGGGTCTGTTTCATAGATATCAGCATTCAGCTGCAAAAACAGAACAACAGCTGTCATCAGTAACTAAACTCAACAAAAACCATCTCATCATTTAAATAAATTGTTACACATTACAAGAGTACTAGACGTTTGCCCCTCTTTGTCTCTCATGCATGCCCAAACTGGGGCTAGCCAGCAGCATGAAATCCACTGCCAGCAATGTTTTTAAATATATACTATATTGCCAAAAGTATTCATTCATCCATCCAAATCATTGAATTCAGGTGTCCCAACCACTTCCATGGTTACAGGTGTATATAATCAAGCACCTAGGCATGCAGACCACTTCTACAAACATTTGTGAAAGAATGGGTCACTCTCAGGAGCTCAGTGAACTCCAGCATGGTACCGTGATAGGATGCCACCTGTGCAATAAGTCCAGTTGTGAGGTTTCCTCGCTACTAAATATTCCACAGTCAGCTGTTAGTGGTATTATAACAAAGTGGAAGCCACTGGGAATGACAGCAACTCAGCCACAAAGTGGTAGGCCACATAAAATCACACAGTGGGGTCAACGGATTCTGAGATGCATAGTGCACAGAGGTCACCAACTTTCTGCAGAGTAAATAGCTACAGACCTCCAAACTTCATGTGGC